CACCCCCTCCTCCTCGCCCTCCTCTCTCGGTCGACTCTCCACTGTTCCCTTCCCACCACCCCCGCTTTTGTAATGATTCCCAGCCTTAATTGGGCCGAAAACGACTTCCCCGAGCTTTTGCGCTGGTCTGTGGAGAAGCGGCAGCAGCGGCTGGTGTGGCGGCGGCTGTGGCCGCCCCGTATCCCGCCGCAGCAGACAACTTGGCGGAGGGGTGGAGAGAGAGGAGGGTGGTGGGGCTCAGGGCTGCCGTCGGCGGAGACTTACTCTGTCACGTGCCCGGTCATTGATGAGAGCAATGGTGGTCGGGGGGAATAATAATTACATTTGTGGGGAGAGCAGCGGACTTCTTATACTTCCGAACCCCCGGGAAAGTCGGACCGGGTCGGGGCACGACGTCTGTGACGTGACAAGGCGCGCGCGTTGCGTCACGGTGAGGGCGACCGTGAGGGGCGGCCAGGTTCAATTCCTTGGAATCGGTCTCGCGGCCCTGTCGTCATAGTTGTACGAAACGAATGAGTCGGTCGGAATGACGGCCCAACCCGCGTAATAGTTCTATTCTTGGTCTGCTGGTCATACACTGCATATGTACCTGTTGCAAAACGAAGAAGAATCTCGCGTCTTTGAATAAAGCGATTCAAACTTTTTCACTTTGAAATCTCGTGGATTTCATCCGTGGTGAACGGGGTGACTTTATTGCCAGGCAGACAACGGAGGAAGAAGTGGGGGAGGGGGGGGTACTGGAATGGTGTATGTTGGCTATACCCGTGCTTTAAGGACATTAATTAGTGTCTGAAGGTGCTGCTAAAAGTTAGTTCCTTTGTAAAGGCATTACTTGACACCATTAAAGGTGTGACCGAGTGCTACTTTTGTTCTCCCAGTTAACCCGATCTCGTTGTTTTTGTCTTGTTTTTAAGACGTGCGAAGCAGACTTTCCGTACCCGCCTTTCAACAAGTGCAAGTGTGCAAGGGTCATCATGTGTTCCAGCGGGGGGGTCTTTTCCATCAGGTTCTCGCAATCTCGGGTGTGGTGTGTCGTGCTGGTGCTCGCAGCACATCGGCAGGTGCCGCGCGACCCGCGCGTGTTGACAGCGGGTGTGACGTCGGTTTGCACAGGCTGGCGTCGCCGCACGGAGTGGCGCCCTTGAGTATAAGTAGGGACGGGCGGGCGGCCCGGCCCAGCAGATACTTGCCACCCCCGCGCCCCAAGCATGGCACGCGAGTCTTTGTTCGTAGCGCTAGCCGCGCTTTTGCTAGTAAACGTGAGTAATAGTAGAGTGACTTGTGACTTGTGACTTGTGACTTACATCGTTACGAGTGTCGTTTACAAACCCGTGTCTGTATAGTATAGTGTGCGGTCGGAAAGCAGCCAGGCCGAGTTTGAGATACTGTTACAGTGGTTTCAGGGGGTTTACGTCTGTGAAATGAAGTTTCTCGGCCAGTCGTTTTCCTGCTGTTGTAAAAACGCCCGGGTCGCCTTGCCCCGCGTCTTCTGCTCTCTCTCACGACGAGTTTGCGCATGTTCCAGGCCTTCGCCGCATCCGTCAGCTTCTCCGAGAGCGAGTCGGCCTCGTCATCGTCCGAATACGACGAGGAGTGGGAGCAGCAGCACCGCGCCAAGAGGCACGTCTCTGGCAATGTGGGCCTCGGTGTGGACGGCGACGCGCAGGTGAGCTCCGGCAGGGGCTCCGGTAGGGGCAGCGGCTCCGGCAGGGTGAACGCCGGCGGCAGCGTGGGCAGCTCCGGCGTGAGGGCCAACCTCGGCACCTCCGGCAGCGCCGACCTCTCGGCCAGCGATGCGGAGCACAACCAGCTCCTCGAGATGATGAAGGCTCTCGACGCCAACATGGACCTTGAAGTCGAAACCGGAAACAGCGGCAGACGCAGCAGCAGCAGCGGAAGAGGAAGGGGAAACAGCGGGGTGTCCGTCAGCGCCAGCACCTCCTCGTCGAACAGGTTCGCCCCCAGGACCTCGTCATCCAGCAGCAACTCAAACAGCGAGCTCCAGCGCCGCGCCGAGGAGGCTCAGCGAAAGATCAACTCTCAGGTCAGCGACATCGACGCGAGGGTCATCGCTTCCGGTCAGGCCAGCTCCTCGAGCCGCAGCACCGCCGGCCAGCAGTCCAGCACCTCTATCCGCGCCTCTGGCTCCTCCGGCCAGCAGAGCACCACATCCAGGACCTTCCAGCTGGGCGGCAGGGGAGGCCCCAGCCTGGCGATCGGCGTCAACCGTAGTAGCGGTTCTGAAGACAACGGCCGCTCCAACGGCCTCGGCCTCAGCCTCAGCGGCAGTATGGGCGGTCAGTCTGGCAGCTCCGACTCCAACGGACGATCCAGCGGCCTCGGCCTGAGCCTTCCTGGCATGTCTAGGCGTAACGGACTCGGCCTCAGTCTCGGCGGCAGCCTTGGTGGCGGCCTGTCTGGCAGCGGATCTAACGGACTGAGCGTGAGCGGCAGTGGTCAGTCCGGAAGCGGTTCCAGCGGCCTCGGCCTCAGCCTCCCTGGCATGTCCAGGCGCAACGGACTGGGCCTCAGCCTCGGCGGCAGCCTTGGTGGCGGTCTTGGTGGCGGCTTGTCTGGCAGCGGATCTAACGGACTTAGCTTGAGCGGCAGTGGTCAGTCCGGAAGCAGTTCCAACGGCCTCGGACTTAGTGTAAGCGGCAGTCGCGGAGGCAGCCAGTCTACTGGCTCCGGCCAGAACGGCCTCGGACTCGGCATGAGCCTGGGTGGCCGTCGGTCCGGCAGCGGATCCAATGGCCTCGGACTCAGTTTGGGAGGCAGTCGCGGAGGCAGCCAGCCTAGTGGCTCCAGCTCAAACGGCCTCGGCCTCAGTGTAAGCGGCAGCATGGGTGGCCGCCAGTCCGGTGGCTCCAGCTCAAACGGCCTCGGCCTCAGCCTGGGCGGCAGTCGCGGAGGCAGCCAGCCCAGTGGCTCCAACTCAAACGGCCTCGGACTTAGCCTGAGCGGCGGTCTGGGTGGTTTGGGTCGCAGGCCCTCCCTTTCCCTTGGTTCCAGTTTGGGCTCCACTCTCGGCCGTAGTGCTTCAGGTAAGTGTTGGTGTGGGGAACGCTCTCCGATCAGAAGAAGAAATCAAGATTCAGGCATTACCTGTGCTCTTTCTTTTTCTTTCTATCAGGCGCCGCCGAAACTGCTGCTCGCCGCGGCGAATCCCTCCTCGGAGGCCTCACCGCCGGCCTCTCACGGTCCAGCAGCAGCAGCCCTAGCCAGAACCGTCTGCGTGGCCTCAGCCTCCCTGGCCTCAGCCTCCCCGGCATGAGCCTCCCCAGCCTCAGCATCGGCAGCAACCGCAGGGCTAGCGGCCGCAACAGCACCAGCGGCGGCTCCGGCGGCCTCGGCTTCCAGATCGGCAACCTGGCCGTGTCCGCCGACCTGTCAGGCGGCCTCCGCAGCCAGGTCCAACAGGGCGTCGCCAACCGCGTCGGCTCCGGCAACACCCTGAGGAGCCGGCTCGCTAACCGCATCGGCGGTGCTGCCCAGGGTGGCATCAACGCCACTCTGCGCGGCGTGAACGCGGCCACCGGCCTCGGCCGCGGCGGCGTCGACCTCGCCACCCGCTTCACCAACGGCCTCGTCTCCCGCGGCAGGCAGAGCGGCAACCGCTCCGTCAGCCGCGTGCAGACCGTGGCCAACCTGGCCCGCAGCGCCGTCGACACGGCCGCCAACCTGGCCGAGGCCGGCGCCAACGTGGGCAACAGCGTGCGCGGCGCCGTCCTGGACGGCGTGTCCACCGGGGCAGCGAGGGTCGCCTCGCTCAACAACGCCGGCCTCAACCTGGCCAGCGGCCTCGCCAACACCGCGGCGAACCTCGCCTCCGGCGTGGTCAGCAACGCCGTGGACTCGGCGAGCAGCGCCACCAGCATCATCCGCAACCCCCTGTCCGCCCTCTCAGCCGCCAGGGACGCCCTGACCATCTCCGGCGACGCCTCGCTCAACCTGCGCGGCCCGCTGGGCTCCTTCAGCGTCAGCTACGGCCAGGACAGCTAGAACTATTGTAACGTCAGAGAATAAACGACCAGACCAGGGTATTACACCACCATGACTTAGTTGTACGTCCAATAAATTCTTTTTTTACTACGAACCACTTCGTCTTGCCTCGTGCAGCACAATAGAGAAATGAATGGAGGTGGTCAGGTAACCGCGCAGGTTCACAGAGATTCGTAAACAGCGTACTATAGAAAAGTCCACCAAAAAATGTTAGTGTGTGGAAAATATAGGAAACACAACTCTTTCGTTTGTGTTAACTATTTTGTGTAAAAAAAAATGTTAAACCGGTACTGCGGCCGAGCTGACTACGTCACCTGACATCGACTCGGCCGCCCACTGGTTCATGGTATACAACGAGTTAACACTAAAAGAGTCGTCGCACGCGAGGAAAAGATGCCAGACGCGGTCGCAAAAGAAGAACAATATTTGTCGCGCTACGCTACGCTATCACTGCTCTAACGCGCCGTCACCCGAGCAGGAGCCGGCGGCGGAATCACGCAAACATGATGATCGCGCACCTGTTCCTCGCACCTGGTGGCCGCGAGCGAAGCGTCGTCGCAAATATTTGCGGTGCTCATCGAACCGGCAAAGGGCACGCGAGTTCCTCGCCGCCGTCGGCGGAGTCATTCGGAAGGGAAGGGGGTGGGGTGGGGGGAAAACGCGGAGGAAAGTTTTTGGCTTTCAGACAGTTCAACCAACGCTACAGGAAGTTAAAAAGTAAAGAAAGGCACGGGGACAAGAGCATTCCACTCACTCTCTTTTAAGTGTCCACCTGACTGGTTACCAATACGAAGTAAAATTCTACGGGTAATTTACACTGAAATGAGACTGACAAAATGATTTTTTTTAATTTCATTTGTTTTTCCTCGGCGTAGATCAGGCGTAGCAGAGTGGACGCTGCCGTTTTGCGGGATTGCATACCCTCTTGGCCCGCAGGGGCCATGCCGCCTTACGGGTAGAGGGAGTACGTCGCACCCGCAAAACTGCGGCGTCTGCTCTGACATTGTCGATTTACTTTCTGGTTTGTGTCTTCTTATCTCATATTTTCTGGTTGTCTACCATATTTCAGAAAACGAGAGGCCATGATAGTTTTCCTCAACCGTCATAGATTCTTTTCGGTTTGAAACTCCTTTACATCTTCCGCTTTTTGTTTCTGTTCTCATCAGCAGCAGATAAAAACCCCATTCACGTGTGACGTGTGTGAGAGGATGTCATGGCGATTTCAACTAAAATGCGTCGGGTTTTAGAGGGCCTGAAAGTTCGTTTATTTTCCTAAATAGTTCCGTTTGAATGTGAGTTTCGAACGGCACACGCGTCCCCCGGCTTAGATAGTGATGGAGACGGTGGCGCTGCTGGAGTTGCCGGCGACGTTGCTGAGGGCGTCGATGGCGGTGGCGGCGGCGCCGTTGATGGCGGAGCGGGCGGCGGAGGCAGCGGAGTCGACCAGGCCGGTGGCGCCGGAGGAGCTGGTGTCGATGGCCGAGTTGATGGTGTTCTGGGCGCGGGTGGCGATGTTCCTGGTGGCGTTGGTGGCCCTGTTGGCCATGTTGAGCTTGGCGGCGGCGATTCTCTTGCCCAGGTTGACGGCGCCGGCAGCGACGTTGCGGGTGGCGTTAAGACCGGCCTCGGCGATGTTGGCTCCGATCTCGATGGCCTTGGTGGTGATGTTCTTGGCGACCTCCACACCACGGCTAGCGATGTTCAGGCCAGTCCTGGCAACGTCCAGACCGATGTCGAGGCCAGCGTTGGCGGCGGAGTTGAAGGCGTTGGCGACCTGCTGGGTAGAGTTGGCCAGGCTGTTGACGCGGGTGGCGGTGAAGTCGTTGGCGACGCCGGCGAGGCCAGAGCCCACGCTGATGCCGACGTTGGCGGTGTCCTGAGCGGTGCCGACGGCGTTGCCGGCAACGTTGGCGGCGGCGGTGACGCCGTCGACGGCCGCGGCGGCGGCGCGGGCGGCGGTGTTCCTACCGAGCTGGGCGATGCTGCTGAGGGCGCTGCCAGAGCCGCCGAGGCTCAGGGAGACCTGGCCGTTCACCTGAAAAGGACAAGCAGAGCGGTCAGTCAGTCGCTCACCGCGCATTCCCCGACTCCGACCCCGACGTCGCTTACCTGGAAGGCGGAGAGGGCCACGAGGGCGAGGACGACAAACTTGGAGGCCATGACTGCTGTGGGACTGATTGCTCGAGCAACGTGCCGAAGTGAGGCCTGTGCGGCCCTTTTATACGGCGCCCTGAAGGCGGCCGGCGGCGCCCACAGCTGCGTGGAGCACGCCAGCACGCCCTGCATTCACTTGTTTGATCTGCTCAGGCCGATGACGATCGTTCCTCAGAAAGCTCAGAAGAACAACGTCAGTGTGTTTACGCATCGGGTAAATAGTGGCTCTCTTGCTATATCATGAGGTGGAAAGGTTCGTGCGAACTCTCGCGCCGGCGCTCGAACTATCTCAAACAACGCCGCCTTGCCTCGGATGCACACCTGGTGCTACAAGCCAAAAAGAAAATAATGCGCAGTGCGGATGTTTCACTGGTCTGCCACGGCCGGAGGGTCCGTTTTCCGTTTCCGGTCTTCCCCGCCGCCGCCCTCCGGCACGACCAACCCGGCCCCAAACCCCCCAAACTTCCCTTCCGGTCGCCCCGCCGCGCTCTCCGGGGAGTCCTCCGGGGAATAAACTTCGTACCGGCAGAGGGTGGATGTGAATGTGTATCCCCACAACATGCGGTCATACCAGAGCAAAGGAAACAAACTCGCTCTCTCAACGTGCGTGTGGCCGAGAGCGACAACAAGGTCGTTAAACCCGTGAAACAAACCTGAACAAACAACCCCTCGACCAGTCTGCGGAGCTCCGTGAATCCCATCGAATGTATACGCCGATGCGCCCGCCGCACCGCACCTGTCTGGCTGGAGCGCAGCTCCCGCTGCGGGGTGGCGGCCAGCGCTCGGTGAGGGAGGGGTGGGGCGCAGCGGCGGCGGCGGCGGCGTGACCTGCTCGCCGCAAACAAACAAACCAGCAGTCACACCACACGCAGTCTGCCAGCGGGCCGGTTCCAGTCGGGTCAGCTCCAGTCTCCAGGTCACGCACGAGCCGCTCGAGTCAGCTTTAACCTACACATCTGGCATTCACCGAGAAGGTACGGAGAGTCGATAATGCGCAGCAGTAGTGGGCAACGGGAGGTGCGCCGTTCACAAGTCCCCGACCGCTGTCTTGCCGGCGATTGCTCAGCCCCACTTTGGCTTTCAGACTGCCGGTAGAGTTCCCCTCTGGAATAAGGTATTCCGCTGCAAGCCAACCGGAACCTAAAGAAGAATAGCACGACTGCTCGATCTGTTTCCCTCTGCGCGCTCAATGGCTGACCGCCACAGCCACGCCATCTTTGGCCAA